CAGCTCCCCTCCATCCGCCCTTTCTCTCTACCTTCGAGTCCACCTGGAATCCGGCCGTTTGTCCCACCCCAGTTCCGTCACCCTGGGGTATGGTCGTTACCTCCCATCGGGCTCCCGGCTCACACACGGGCCCCTTCGCTGTGGCCTCTACGGCGGCCAGAGTCGTCCTGGTAACCCCTGGGTCCGACGGAGCCCGCCCTGTGCTCAGAACCCCCGGGGACGACCGGGTGCTGACCCCCAGCCTTCCTCCCGAGCTCTCGCTTCTCTCATTTCACCTGCTCCCTTATCCCAGCAACACCAGCGCTGGGGAGACCTCCGATCGCGTACAGGGCCTCAGTGCCAACAGGTCCTCTTAAGTCCCAGAGCAGAGTCCAGCTCCGTGATGGCGAGAAGAACACTCTTCGTTGAGTGCCCCGCCGGTGTGTTGAAGGAAGGAAGCCTGGGGACGCGCTTGGGGCCAGGCATGGAGGTTTGGTTGGGGCGCCCAGACTTGCACGGTTCCCTCGGAGAGTTTGAAGACTCGCTGTTTGTTAGGTGACAAATCGGAAGTATCCGAAGCTGAAAGAAGTGGATGATGTGCTTGGTGGAGCAGCTGCCTGGGAGAACGTTGACTCTACCGCAGGTGAGAGGGAAAACCTTTATTACTGAGCTGTGGATAGAGGAGGAGGCTGCTGACGGCCCAGGCGCCTCAGAATCTGTGACTGCTTGTATGAAGTGGGCCTCTAAAAACAGAAAGCGTATTTACTTTTTTTAATAACTTATTTGTTGCACAAATAATACTGGCACGAGCCTTGGAGTCACACAGGCCTGAGATAAGTCTCAGGGTGCCTTCTTCCTGTTTTACCACCTTGGATCCCTTGACCTCTCTGGGGCTAATCCATACTCATAGATTGTAGGAGCACAAAGCGAGTTTCACAGTGTTTGGCACGAAACGGGCACTGAACATGTGGTAGCTATGATACCAGCAGTGACAGGAGTAATGCAAATCTGTCTAGGAAAAACAATACGGTCTTTTTGTCCTAATGCAGTTTTAAAAGTGAATAGCAGAGAGCATTAGGCTGCGGCCTTACTAAAATAAATGTTTATTTCAAGTCTTGATTTATTTTTGGTAGAGGCAGGTGTGACCAAAGACGGACAGGGGAGAGCCCTAGACACAACCAGTATTGAGAGCGGGGAGAGCAAAGTCACGATTAGTACTACCCCTTTCCCCTACAGATGAACATCCAGGTCTGCTAGGTTAAAATTTAGCAGTGGCAGACCTTGTCATTGAAGGATGAGTTATGGACCAGATGTTCAAAATGGTGTTTGAGAGTGTTTGAAGGTGTTTCCATCAAGAATGGGGTTAGTTTCTCAGTGAAATCACTGTGGAGGTAAATATGTGCCTGGTTGCACTCTGCAAAGGTGCGGGGTGTGTGGTGAGATCTCGGTAAGAACAGCCTGAGGTACTGACCAAAATGGACCCCTAAATACAAGGGGAGGTGGAGTGGTCATCCATTGGAGCTCATGGGAAGATGAGAGGGCTTGTCTATTGCCCAGGTGATGGAGATGCACTTATTAGGGGGACTCTGCAGGGCGTGGACCCTGTAATTCACAGAGCAGCCATAAGTCACTTTTTATGTTATGTTTTTAACCAGTCTTCAGCCAGATTTGAGAGGAAAAGTGGGACCCAGCGAAGGGAGAAGGAGTGTTTTCAAACTCTCCTGGATTCCCTCAGTGCAAGAACATATTGGGAATGACACCACTGTTTGTAGCCCTAAATCGTAATACCAGGGACACCAGATGAGCGAGGAAAGCCTTTGCTGCCTTTTGCCTAATACCTACTTCTAACAGGTCACAAACATCATTTTTTTATGTGGGTCTCTTGTTTATTTTTCTCGTTTCTAGAGCCATGTCCCAAATGTGAACACCCTCGTGCCTATTTCATGCAACTTCAGACCCGCTCTGCAGATGAGCCAATGACTACTTTCTACAAGTGCTGCAATGCTCAGTGTGGACACCGCTGGAGGGACTAGGACCAGGCTGGCCCAGCTGCATCCATATCTGTTTAGCTTATTTCTCAGAGTGCATTTCCAGCTGGAAGCGAGCACTTGTGTCCTGAGGGCCTTTGCTGGTGTGGCAGAAAGCTACCCCTTCTAGGGTTGTTGGCCAGGGTGTCAGGAAATGGATAGCCCGTTTGCCAGTCAGCAGATGAACTCATTAATGTCCAGGGAGGTTTTGTGTATGGGGAGGATTACCCACACCTGATTACACCCTTTTTAAGGTCGTGTTCGTTCATCTTTCACATTTATAGGGCAATTGACATCCTTTTACCATCAGCCAACACTCTTAAATATTTAGATTGTTTGCACAACTAATAAAGTAAAACTTATTAATTTAGTACATTAGTTGTTTCTATATTTTAACTGATAATTGCAAACTTATTTAATTGAAATTTTATTCTATTTAATTAAAACGAAAAGTTTAATATTGCCTTCTCAGTGTTTTAGATGACTGAAGAAGCAGATGTCAGTCAAACCACAAATCATGATTCCAAAATTAACTACTATACTTAGGACTAAACTGGTTATAAAATTGCTAATAACATGGATTTAAATTTTTAGATTCCTATTCTTGCTTCTTAGGATTACAATAAATTATTAGATACTGTGTTTTTATGCTTTGTGTGTTCTTTCCACTCTGAAAAGAAAAAGGACACTTTAAACTAGCTGGGGACAGCCCTGGCCCGTATGGCTTGGTTGGGTGTTGTCCTGTGTATCCCGTCAGGGCACATGCTGGGGCTGTGGACTGGACCCGCTAGAGGGGCATGCAGGAGGCATTGATGTTTCTCCTCTATCTCCCTCTCTAAATTAATAAAAAATAAAAGTAAATGTATATTTAAATATATCTTTATTGATTTCAGAGAGAGGAACATCAAGGATGAGAGAGTCCTTGATCGGCTGCCTCCTGCACGCCCCCACGGGGGATTGAGCCCGCAACCCGGGCATGTGTCCTGACTGGGAATCGAACCGGGATCTCCTGGATCCCAGGTCGATACTCAACTGCTGCCCCATGTGCAGCTGGGCAATAAAAATATTTTTAAAAAATAAACAAAAGAACTAGCTGGGGACAGGATCTAGGTTATTGATAGATTGATTGCTTGCTCAGGGCCTCAGACTTAATCGCTTTTCCAAATTTCTCAATAATGAAGTCTCACTTATGAAGTCATGGGACTTAAATTTATGCCTGTGATGCAGATTTTTATTTTTGGAGACTTGGTATATTTTCCAGAAATGATTAATCTTTTTTTATCCTTTTGTAATTTATTTTTATTTTTACAAGTTATACCATGATAACTATAAAAATTACTTGTGAAATATTTCTCTTTAACATTTTATAAGTTAATTAAATGCATACCACAATTGATTTTTTTGTTGTTTAAAAAGGGGTTTCTGCCCTAGCCGGCTTGGCTCAGTGATGAGAGAGTCGGCCAGCACACTGAAGGGTCCTGGGTTCCTTTCCGGCCAAGGGCACGTACCTTGGTTGAGGCTTGATCCCCGGTCCTGGTTGGGGTGCGTGCAGGAGGCAACCAGTCGATGAGTCTCTTTCACATCGATGTTTCACTCCCCCTTCCACTCTCTCTGAAAAGCAATGGAAAAAATATCCTCAGGTGAGGATTAAAAAAAAAAGGATATCTCATGGTTTTAGTGTCACACAAACTTAAGTTTACACTCAGAAGTAAGTTTAGAGAAATGGCGTTACAGAAGATTGGAAGCGGAGGCCCTGGCCGAGTAGCTCTGTTGGTTTGAGCGTTATCCCCATACACCAAGGTTGTGGGTTCGATCCCCAGTCTGGGCACATACAAGAATCAACGAATAAAGGCATAAAAAAGTGGAACAGCACATAGATGTTTCTCCCTCTCCCTTCCTCTCAAGTTAACTAAAGAAAAAAAAATTGGAAGTGAGTAGTGAAAAACAAAAAACCCATGCAGTGCTGGTGCACAGTAGTAATAAGTCAGATGTTTTCACTTTCAAGTCTTAAGTGCAGCCAAACTTAAAAACTAGTCCTCTAAAGAAGATGAAGGCAGTTTTGGAAAAATACAGCAATTCCAGGGTATATACTATGCTGTTTTCTTTAGCAACATAACCTCCAAAGAGAATCCACATAGATGCAATCAGAGCGCCAAAGGTCAACATGAAACCAATGAACAATTGCGCTGGCCAGTGGGTGGAATGAGCTGAGCATCCTCTCATATACTAAAAGGTCACCGGTTAGATTCTGATCAGGGCACATGCCTGGGTTTTGGGCTCTATCCCCAGTAGGGGGCATGCAGGAGGCAGTAAATGATGTTTCTCACATCCAATGCTCCTCTCCTCTCAAATCAATACAAAACATTTAAAAAAGAAAACACACCGATGAACAGCCAAATGCGAGTGCCTGCTCGACCCGGGAAACCTTCACTGAAACCATCACCTTGGACTTGTCCATTCGGCGCTGCACTAATCAGGAGGAAGGCTATGGCTATAACACCACGGGCACGGGATGAGAGGTCGAGCTGTCCCATAGCGGGGTAAGTGACAGCTGCATCTGCGGTAATCCGCCAGCCTGTGAAAAATAGAACACCAGTAGCAGTGGAAGCAACAGCATTGCCCTCTCCCCCGTCATCGCGTCCTGAGCATCTCAGGCCCCCTACAAATCCAGTCAGTCCATCCCTGCCCATGCAGTCTGTCTGGAGCCCTGTGTCTTGCTGCTCGGGGGCGCCTCACTGTCCCAGTTTCGGCCCAGAAATGACTTATCTTTAAGTTTCACATGCTTTCCTTATTGCTGTAATATGTTGACCAGGTCCTGAGCCCATTCTCTGTAATTGGTTCTATTTCAAAACAGTTTTCCTGGCCGGCGTGGCTCAGCGGCTGAGTGTCGACCCATGAACCAGGGTCGTTCCCGGTCAGGGCAGGTGCCTGGGTTGTGGCTCCATCCTCGGTAGGGGGCGTGCAGGGGGCAGCCCATCAATGGCTCTCTCATTGGTGCTTCTATCTCCCGCTCCCTCTCCCTCTCTCTGAAATCAATCAAACATTTTTTTTTTTAAACATATCTTTATTGATTTCAGAGAGAGGAAAGGAGGGGGAGAGAGAGAGAGAGAGAAACATCAATGATGAGAAAGTCATTGATCGGATGCCTGGCCCACAACCCGGGCATGTGCCCTGACCGGGAATCAAACCTCGATTGCCTGGATCCTAGGCCGATGCTCAACCGCTGAGCCATGCCCGGCCGGGCGATCACCTTAATTTTATTTTCTTGGGATATACTTCTGCTGCTGCTGCAATCAAACACAATTAAGTCACCGTAAGTAAGTAGCTTTCCTTGCTTGGCAAACAGATGAGCCACTTGGAAATTTAATTTGGTTGCCTCGTTTTTACTTTCAATTTTTGTGAAGAAATTTGTTGTGTGTTGAGAATAGTGCCAGTGATGGGTGCGTAGTCAGGTAATGTCAACTAATTATAGTGTCACTGCATAATAAACACAATCCTTTGCCATTCAATTTGATGGCAAAATAATCTCTCCACTGTGCCTTAAAAACATAACATTTATAATTCACTTAAAATATTTGTTTAAATATTTATTTTTTTAAATCGAGGTAACATTGCTAATAACATTATAGGTAAATTTCAGGTGTAGAGCATTATTATTTGATACCTGTGTACTCTGCTGAGTGCTCGCCACCAAAAGTCTAGTTTCCACGTGTCACCATATGTTTGACCTCTGTTACCCATTTTGCCTGCCCCACCCCACTTACCCTTTAGTGACCACCATTCTGCTCTCTATATCCATGAGTTTGTTTTTGTTTTGTTCATTCATTTGTGAGGTTTTGGTTTCTATTCCACAGATGAGTAGAATCATGCGGTTTTTGTACTTTTCTGTCTTCTGTCTGACCTATTTCACTTAGCACAATACCCTCTAGGCCCATTGATGTTGTCACAAATGGTAAGCTTTTACCCCTTTTCATGGCTGAGTAATACTCCACTGTATATACATAGCACACCGCTATCCATTCTTCTGTCAGTGGACACTGAGGTTGCTTCCATAGCTTCGCTGCTATGACACTCCAACCAACCCAGCTATCTGGCCAGGGCTAGAGTTCATTTTTCTTGTTTTGACATAATAGGTATGCACTGGTAATAAGCAAAAAATAAAAAAATATTGAAGTAGAACAGTATGATGGCCCTTGAAATGCTGAGTGATGACTATACCCGAGTTGTAAGTGTGACGAGCGGCTGCGTGAAGCTCCGTTGCCACACTCAGCTCTGCATTACAGTGTGAAAGCAGCTGTAGACAGTATGAATCAATGAGTGTGGTTGTGTTTCAGTAAAACCGTGGATGCTGAAATTTGAATTTTATAGTATTTTCATGTGTCATGTAATTTCTAAAGCAACTGTCCCCCAACCATTTAAGAATGTATAAGCTATTTTTAGCTCACAGGTTTTTGTAGAGCGGGTGCACTGGATTCTGCCTGTGGGCTGTAGTTTGCTCACACCTGGTATACCTCGGAGGGTGGTGAGAATTTATGCTGTTTAGCATACATATATCCTTACAACATGTCTGGCTGGTGCCTTTTCTTCATGGTGTGGCATTTTCACAGGTATTTGGTGACTCCTGGATGTGTGTTCTTTGTGTTTGACGTTTCCCCTCTGTCTATGGATGTTGCTTTTCTATTTGTCTCCATTTATTATGGGAGGAGGTGACATTCATTATGTCAGGGTGTGCCATCAGTGCAATTTCTTGGCAAAGAGGCACTGGCCTTCCTGAATCTAATTGTCCAGTAAAGGAATCTGTGAACAGATTCCTCTTCTAGTACTGCCTGGCACAAATGCAGGTGTGGGGAGCGAGGGGACCTGCTCTGCTGCTCCACATTTAGGACTCTGATTAATCCTGGTGATTGTCTAGGACTAACCTGGCTCCCTTTCATTGCCTAGGAAGGACACTGTGTCTACGCTCTCAGATGTCCTCTCCTGTGTGTTTTTATGATGTGTTTTACTGTGTCAATCCACTCAAATATCAGTTGCCTCCTTTCTTTCACAGATTCCTTCTCATTAATGCTCCATCATGTTTTCTGCACTGTTATGATGTATTTCTTTTATTTAAGATACTGTACTTTTCACTTATATACTTTCCTTTTGCTTCTTTTTTTCAGTTTCTATTTCTCTGAGATTTCCTATTTATACATTGGGGGCATATTTTCCTTTATATCTTTGAGGATAGAGTAGCTGCTTTAAAACCTGTGCTACTTCTTACAACTAAGTCTTGGGAATCTGTCTCCATTGCTTGTCTTTCCTCTTATGTATGGGTCACATGGTTCTGTTTCTTCATATGTTTAATAATTTTGGATTTATTTGGAAATAATGAATGATATACATTGTAGAGAGTATGGGTTCTGCTATGTTTCTCTGAAGAGTTTTGTTTTTGTTTTTTAAACAGGCTATGAACTCTTTGTCTCTGATGTGGGCAGCAGCTGAAATCTCTGTTAAGGTTATTTAACCTTTATTTATTTATTTTGGGTAATCCTCACCAGAGGATATTTTCCCATTGATTTCAGATAGAGTGGGAGGGAGGGAAGAAAGGTGGGGAGAGAGAGAGAGAAAGAGAGAGACATCAGTGTGAGAGAGACACATGGATTGGTTGCCTCCCGCACGCGCCCCTACCACGGCCAGGGATCGAACCTGCAACCCAGGTACGTGCCCTTGACCCGGCTATGTTTTTTAACCTTCGCTGGGCTGCTTGGAGTTGGCCTGTACACATGTAGTTCAGGGGTCATCACAGATTTTGGTAGCGGTTAGATGCAGAATTTGGGAGTCTTTTCTCCGTTTTTTTTCTTTCCATGATTTCCTCTCTTTCTGGCCTTTGTGGTCTCCACTTGTGGGATCAGGGTGCAGGTGGTGTGATCTGCTGGTTTTAAGTCAGTAAATTCTAGTTTCAGCAAGGTGAGAGGGACACCCTGATAGACAGAGAAGGAAACTCTCTTGATAAAGATACTAACGAAGGGGTGGCTCTAGTAAGTATAAAAGTATGTCCTTGTACTAGGTAAGATGGGGGCCAAGCTGAATGAAATTTAAGTATTAGTGCCCTGGCTCGGGTAGCTCAGCTGGTTAGAGCATTGTCCCCATACACTAAAGTTGCGGGTTCGATTCACAGTCAAGGCACCTACAAGAACAAGTGGAACAATAAATCGATGTCTCCCTTTCTCTCTCTCTTTCCCTCTCCCTTCCTCTCTCTCTAAAAATCAATGAATGTAAATAAAAAGAGAAATTTAGATATTAGAAAGAAATGTGATTATGTTCCTGGTCATTTGTAAGGTATTTCCTGGGCTCGAGCCTTCTCCTTGGGTCCTGGTGTTCTCAGACTCCAGAGAGCTACAGCTCTGAAGTATCCAAGCCTTGCCTAAGAAGTTGTGATGCACAGAACACACACATGCACACCCATGTGTGCTCACAGGAGCTCTCACAGATAAGAGTAAGCACATGCACACGCTGAAATGTGACTTACTTGGTACTGAAAAGAACACACAGCCAGTAAGTATATGAAAAGACACTTATCTTCACTAATAATCAAGTGCAGAAAACAACAACATTGAAATATCTTTGCCTATCAGATACGCAAAGATGAAAAAGACTGATAATATATATACTGTTGGTGAGGGTTACAGGCATTCCCACGCTTCTGGCAGGAGTAGAAGTCAGTGCACTTTTGGAGGGCCACTTGGCAGTATCTGTTGATTTTTTAAAGAATGGTGATGCGTCTATTTTAAAATGTTTATTATTTTTAAATTGATTTTAGAGAGGGAGGGAGAGAGAGAGAAACATTGATATGAGAGAGATACATGGGTCTGTTGCCTCCTGTCTGCACCCCCACCAGGGATCAGACACTAAACCTAGGTATGTGCCCTGACTGGGAATCGAACCGGTGACCTTCCGGTGCCCAGGACAGTGCTCAACCAACTGAGCCACACCGGCCAGGGCAGTATCTATCGACTTTTTAAAAGCTGAACCTTAGACCCAGAATTCCACCATAGCATTTTTTTTTTTTTAACAGAAGTACTCCTTCTGGTGATTAAAGATCCACACCCAGAATTGCTCACTACCTTCATTTAAAATAGCACATCTACACTTGAAACTAATATAATGTTATATGTAAATTATATCTCAGTAAAAAATTCAAATAGCATATATAGGCACCCACCCAAACGGCCATTGGCAGGATTAGGAAACCATAGCGTGTGCTACTGTTGAAGACCTAGGAAAGCGTTGAAAATAGTCAGAGGAGCAAGGAGGCTGCAAGCTCGGAGCACAGTAGGAGTCCACTAAAAGTGTGCATTTGAGCTTAGAAACGTCTGCAGGGCTTGTGCCCGCCTTCTCACAAGGGGCTACCCCTGGGGCGAGAGAAAAGGCAGCTCCCATTTTATTTCCTTCTGAATTGTTTGTTTTTCTTTACCTGACGCTGCATTATTTTATGTTTGACACCCTCTCCAGCCCCTGTTGTTCTGGTTGCCTCAGCTGGAGAGCAGCCTGCACCCCGGTCTCAGGGATGCCTAGAAGGCCCGAGGCCCCCTGCCACCCTGTGCCTGGCCAAGGCCCTGGCCTCCTGGGACCAGCTAATGCACCCAGTGGTGTTCCTTGGGAGGACTGCACCAATCAGTGGGCAAGTGCCGTTTGGCAACCTTCAGTATCGCGGGGAATGAAAGCTGTCCCACCTCTTAATTCCTGGGTTGGTGATTAGCACTGACAGTCACCTCTCAGCCCCGCTGGGGACAGCTGCTTGTGATGCGCTCGTGGTTTCAGCTGTGGGCGGCCTGTGTCAGCCTGCTGTGCAAGCGTAAGTCACCGGCGCACTTATCTCCTGAATCAGGCTGAGGGGCTTTGCCGCGAACCCAGGGACTATCCAGGCCATGGGACCCAGCAGCTGCATCTGGGAAGGTGAGTCTGTGACTGGAATTTCCCAACCACTCAGGTCAGTGTGAACTTCAGGGGCCGAGAGGGCCGGGCAGCCCGCCTTCCCTGGGCCCCTGCGAGAGCCTGGGGAGGAACGGTGGAAGCGGGGTGCCTGGGAGCACCACCCTAGTTCTACCTTGTCTGGTGTCCCTGCCTCGGGCACCTCGCAGGGACGGCAGAGTGGCAGTGCTGACCACAGGATGGCAGACTGGCACTTCCAGGCCTGCAGGGGTTGTGAGTGCCTTGGGGCACAGGGAAGAGCAGGGTTTCTAATTATGGAAGAGACGCTGCTTCCTTGGTGACTGAGCTGACCTTTGAGGCGCAGTGAGTGCGAGGGGGTATTTGAGGCCACGGGTGGCGATGAAGTCCAAATCCCCAGCCTTTGGGGGCTTTGGGGCAGAAGAGGGGCTGGGAGTCTGGGGACATCCCCCCTTGGAGCTGTGGGTGGGCAGCCGGGGAGGGTGGGATTCCAGAAGGAGGGCAAGTCAGCGGAGCAGAGGAAGGGGGGAAAGGGGGGGAAGGGTTCTTGCTCCAGTAATGGCCCCGGGAGCCCCCCCAGGTGCCCAGAGCACTACCACTCGCTAGGAGCAAGGGCACCTCCTGCAGGGAGCTCAGGTGCATCTCTCAAACGTTAAAGAAGGCTGCAGCCAGGTTCTCACCCGGAGGGGCCTGCTACAGGGTCGCTGCAACGGGGTAGCGAGGGCTACTGCAGGGGGGTGTTGGCAGACGAGGGGTGCTATGTGTCCCCGTTTAACCTCCAAGCCCCTCGAAGAGAACTGTCAACACCCTTATTCTAGCCCTTACCCATAGCTACTACCTGCCTCCCTGCTCCTGCTGTGTCTGGCTGGGGAGACAGGTTGGGGTGCTCGGGGGGCCTCATGAAGGAAGAGGCATGCTAGGGGGAAGGAGGCCTGGTGGGGGGACAGTGTGAGAGGAGGCCAGGAGGTCATTGGGAAGCTCAGGGTTGCAGAGCTGACCAGCAGGGCCCCACGTGAGGCTCCGCTCTACCCCTCTGACGTCCGCTCTCAGCCTCTCCCTGCCCCTGCCCTGGGGCCCCCCTCTGTGTGTGCCCCTCTGGGCCCATCCCTTACCTTTCCCATAGTTCCTGCCTGGCGTGTCCATGTTTCCCAGACATGTGCCCCCGGATGCAGCTGCCCCTCCCGCTTACTGTCCTCGGAAGCTCGTGGAACGTGCTCCTTGGTGCCCTCTGCGCCCTCTCTGGACCCTCCCAGCTGCCTCGATCTCTCCCACTTCCTGCCCTTCCCACCCACGGTGCACCCCCCATGGGAAGCCCAATGTCCTCAAGCATCCGTGGTCTCATGGGTGCCATTGGGGCCAGGGGTGGTCCACATGTGCTTGTGTGGCCCAAAGGGGGAGTGGGCTTCTGCTCTCATTTCTGGCCCCATTTCCTAGCACAGTTCCCATGTCCCCCAGGTTCCAGCTGTTTCTGGGGGACCAGGGTCCAAATGTATTCCTCCTCCCCAGCAGAGAGAAGACAGAAGATAGGTGCCCATTTAGTTAGCAGCTTCCGTGTCACTGTCTTCTGTGTCTGCCAGCTTCTCAGGTGGTGGGAGAATATCAGGGGATGTCACTCCCTCCCCATGAAGGGTATAAAATAGCCTGTAAGGGGGCAGTAAGTGGACGCGGCGATTGGCGTGAAGCCGACTTGGGGGGTGTGCAGTAAGGCACAAGGGAACCCCGGGGTTGCCAGCCAGCCCCCAGGACAGGCCTGCCTGCTTTGGTCTGGGATCCTACCTAGCACCAGGTGAGTGTTCGGGGTGCGAGGGCCAGGGAGGTGAGGGACTGAGCGTGGTCCTGGTCCTGTAGTCTCTGTGGGTCCTGCTTCAAGGCAGCCAATGAATTTGGGATGGGCCAGGAAATCATGGCAGGCAAGCTGACCTTGACCCCGAGGCTATGGAGGAGATGGGGTTCTCTGGGGGCCGTGCTGGGTAGTGATGCCAGCCAGGCTCCCCAGCATGACTAGAGGTGCTAGGGGGCAGCTCTGTCCAAGGGCGTGACACTGGCTTCTGCTGCTCCCACAGTCATCCTGAGACTTGTCTGAGCTGTGCCTGGGCCTCCCTGGTCATCCCAATGCCTCTTACAGGAGCAGGGAGCATGCAGGTGAGGGGTTCTGTACCACCTGGCCCAGTGTCTGTTGTCAAGATCGGGGGGTGGCCCTGCCTTAGTAATGTCCCCCCTTGAGCTTGAGGAGCCCTGAGGAGAGAGACCAGTGATACTCTGGGGGAGCCGGGTGGCTCGCAGGCTTGTGTGGGAGCCAAGACAGAGGTGACAGACGCCAAGTATTGGGCAAGTGCCTGGTTTCTCTGGGCCTCAGTTTCCTCATCTGCAGGAGGGTGTTGGCTCTGCCTTACCCAGCTCTCTAGGTATAGACAGAGGTGTTCTCTGCCGAGGAAGAGCAAGGACCGTCCCCCCAGGATGATCCTGCCCAGCGCTTCACTGCTCCCCCAGGATGGGTCCTGGCCCCCGGGGCCTGCTGGGCTTGGGGCCACCCACTCTAGGCTCTTGAGCCATCTGCTCCTGGGTTAACCTGAGGCTGGGCTAGCCTCTTTCTGCACAGATGCACGTGTCCGTCCACCCTGGGGCCTGATCCTGTCGTCACACGTCACACCCCCCGAGAGAGCTATGGTCAGGCCGCTCTCCATCGCCATCTAGGAACTGCTGCAGGAGGGGACACGCCGCAGGACTAATGCTTTGGCTGGGGGATGGGTGGTGCTTCATTCTAGGGGAGGGTGAGGTCTTCCTGGTCTTCGCGGGGGTCCGCTGGGATGCGAGGTGGGGTTGGAGTGCTGTCTGCTGCCTGGGGAGTGTGTGCTGAGGCCTGTGTGAGGTCTGAGTCGTTTTCGCGTCTTATCACCCATCAGGCTTGCGTAACCAGGCTGACCCTGCTTCCTGCTGAGGAGCTATCAGTGTGCCATCTGGAGCTGCAAACAGGGTGATAGGGCGTCAGCAGCTTCCCTGCACGGCACCAGGCGCTGCTTGACACCCAGCCCCTCATCCCCGTTACCTCTGGCTCGGGTGTGACAGAGTTTAGGAAGCACCTCCTGTTGCATGTACTCCCACTGCCATCCTCCCCGCCTTCTGGCAGCAGGGCCTGGGATAGGCCTCAAAGGGAGGCAAAGGGAGGGAGGCTGCGTTAGAAGTTGCGTCAGAAGCTCGCAGCGTGACCCTTGGCAAGGCCTTCCCTCCTTGGGAGTCAGCTCCTTGCTCAGTGGGTGAACAGGGACGGTCTTTCCGCCTCACAAGTCTGTGGGAATCCCAGTGGATAATGCACGTTACACAGTGAGCGTGTAACCACTGAGCGTGACACCACTGAGTTCAGGATGGGGCCTGGGCCCGGGGGCAGTGGGCTGGGCTGGCAGAGGACACTGGTCCCAGAGAGGAGCTTGCGGGGCAGACTCAGACATGGAGCGGATTCAGAGTCCAGGACCCATGAGGAGACCTGAGTGCGAGGGTCCCCTCTTGCACGCTGTAGCCATGAGTTTTTGTCAGGTCCACTGACCCGTCTGAGCTTCAGTTGCTTATTGGTGCAGCTCGGACAGAGGCGCCCAACCTACTTCACAGGACACAGTGAGGAGCACTCCTCATAGGGGAGACACTCCTCATAGGGGGGACACTCCTCATAGGGGGGACACCCCTTGGGCAGCATCCCTTGGGGGTGTTCCTCACGCAGAGCCTCTCAGCTCCATCTCTTGCAGGTTGGACCTTGCAGAGTGAGGCCCTGACTAGAGGGATGGGCACCTGGCTCCTCGTCTGCATCTGGGTCGGCTTGGGAGACATGGTGCCAGGGGAAAGAGGAGGTGAGGGCACTAGTGACCTCGCGAAGTGTGTGTGGGGTGCTGCGGGGTGGGGCTGTCCTCTGTCAAACTCCCCCGGGGAGGGTTTGATCCGAACTGCGCTAGGACCTGTCCTGTAGAGACCAGCCTGGACTCCAGTCCCATCCATGTACCACGGGCCAGAGCCCATCACAGTCCAGGTCTCCCAGCCCTGCCTGATGAATTCTCCTGCTATGGTTCTTTGGGGACCACCCTGTTAGGGTGTCAGCTTCCAAATCCTCCCCTTCCCCCAACCCTGCCCTGAAGCAGCCTCTGCAGGCTCCCAACGGTCCCTGTTCCCAGGGCTAGGGGCTGGAGCTTTCACCTGCCTCACCAACAACATCCTCAGGATTGACTGCCACTGGTCTGCCCCAGAGCTGGGCCAAGGCCCCAGCCCCTGGCTCCTCTTCACCAGGTGAGGCTGCAGGGCCAGGCCACCTGGGCAGAGGGCAGGGGTCAGGACAGGGTCCCCATGAGAGCAGTAGGGGCTGGGCTGGTGCAGCAGCTTCTTGGTGCCCCTTTCTAGCAACAATGCACCGGGCAGCAAGCACAGGTGTGTCTTCCGGACCAGCACGTGCACCATGGTGCTGCCGCCCGAGGAGGTTCTTGTGCCTTCCGACAACTTCACCATCACTTTGCACCGTCACATCTCTGGGAAGGAGCAGGTCAGCCTGGTGGACCCCCAGTACCTGCCCCGGAGACATGGTGAGGCCTGAGGTGGGCACCTTGGCTGGAAACATCCTGGCTGCCTAGGTGGTGGGGGCAGGGCTCTGCCTCAGGTAATCCCCATGCCTAGCGAGTGCCCTTAGTCCCTGCTAGAGATCCAGGGCTGGTCCAGCCCGCCCCAGGAGGGGAGGCCTACTGGTTGCTTTTTTTTTTTCTTTGTCTTTATTGATTTCAGAGAGAAGAAGGGAGAGGGAGAGAGAGAGAGAGAGAGAAACATCAATGATGAGACAGTCATTGATCGGCTGCCTTCTGCACGCCCCCGACTGGGGATCGAGCCACAACCCGGGCATGTGCCCTGACTGGGAATCGAACCCCGGTCGCCTGGATCCTAGATCAATGTTCAACCGCTGAGCCACGCTGGCTGGGCTGCAGGGGTTGGGTTTTAAAGGTCGATGAAGATGCAAAGCTTCAAGTTGGGGTCTGGGCTGCAGCTCGAGTCACTTGAAATGCACGTCAGTCATGGCAGGAAGGAGCCCAGTGAGACAGCTTCTGAAGGAAAGGGAAGGCGAGCTTGAGAGTCGCCCTGTCTGGCTGCAGGGGCTAGAAGTCACTGCTGTCCTGCCTCACCTGGGGCTTCTCTGGACCAGCCTTTCAGTGAGGCCCTTGACATCGCCCCCCAGGAACCCTTCAGTGCCCCAGTGCTGGCCTGGCTGGCAGGCACGCTCTCATGTGGCCTTGTTCTGTTTCAGTGAAGCTGGACCCTCCCTCTGACTTGCAGAGCAACGTCAGCTCTGACTCCTGCGTCCTGACCTGGGCCATCGGTCCTGCCTTGGAACCACTGGCCTCGATGCTCAGCTATGAGCTGGCCTTCAAGAGGCAGGAAGAGGCCTGGGAGGTAATGCTCAGGCGGCCACCTTGGGGCTTCTGCCTCTCCCTGGAGCAGCAGCCCAGGGCCACTCATGATTCCACACAGGGAGATGGAATTATGAGAAGGGGAGGTGACCAGGACCAAGAATACATGTGTGCAGGCGTGCACGTGTTTGTATGTGTGCCCACAGGTATGTCTGTATTCGAGTGTGCCTGTGTGTGACTGTGTGTGTGTGAATATGTGTGTTGACATGTGTGAGTGCTCACAGGGTGTACCTATGTGCATGAGTGTAGTGAAGGTGGTGAGCGTGTTTGGGTGTGCGTGTGCGCATGTGTGAGTGTGCGTGCAGGTAGGGGAGTGTAGGCGTGTGCCTGTGGGTATGTGCCTGCATACGTGTGTAAGTGTGCCCGTGTGTATATGGCTGTGTGTATGTGAGTGTGGTGAGTGTGCCTCTGTGTGTGTGTGTCTTTCTCAAGGGCTGACGGACCCAGTTCTCACCCTCAGCAACTACTAATTGCCCTCAACCCCATAGTGGGCCCAGCACAAGGGTCACATTTTTGGGGTGACCTGGATCATCCTTGAAGCTGCTGAGTTGGACCCTGGTTCTACCTATGAGGCCAGGCTGCGTGTCCAGATGGCCACCCTGGAGGACACCATCGCGGAGGAGGAGCGCTATGAGGGCCACTGGAGTGAATGGAGCCAGCCCGTGAGCTTCCCCTCTCCCCAGAGGCAAGGTGGGCGCTGGTGGCTGCTGCTCTTCGGGAGTCTGGGGGGCCTCTCTTCCCCTGTTCATTGCACCCTCCCACCCTTTTATTTCCTGGGACCCATCCCTGAGGCACTCATGCTGCAGGTGACCACCCCGCCCTGGAGATCTGAAAAGGGGGAAACAAACACCTGCTGAGCATGAGTTTCCCAGGGACCCAAAGTCAGTGGCTGGGAGTGAGCGTGGCCCAGGGCTGCACGCCAGGGCTTCGGGACAGCAGGCCAGCCCTGTGCACAGGAGTGCTGGGAAGGCTCCCTGACCCTGATGGCCTTGCAGGTGGGACAGGCGAGGCCCAGGGTGCATGATTCATCCGCGGTGCCTTAGCAGGCATGACACAACCTCCAAGGCCCATTACAGACTCTCCACGTGGGCCCAGGGCACTGGGGGGGGTCTTCGCCATGTGGGTCTGAGGGAACATGCTGGTGCTGAGCCTGCTCACAGCTCTGGGCCCTTCCTGCTCTCAGGCCCCCTGGTTTCACCTTTGAGGCAGCCCGACAGCACCCTTGTCGCTGTGTTCGTCTTTCTCTTGCTGACCAGCCTGACTTACCTCCTGTTCAAGCTGTCACCCAGGTTGGTAACCAAGGGCTGCGTGTGCGGCTGCGTGCGTATTTGTGAGTGTGTTATTATGTGCGTGTGTATTTGTGTGTGCATTGGATGTGTGTGTGTGTCACTGTGTGTGGCAGGTGGTGCTCCAAGGGCCACGCCAGCGATGCTTCCCCTGTGCTCCTCCCCTCCCCACCATCAGGTCCTGGAGGGGGTGGGGTTTCAAGCCTCTGCATTGCACCAGTGAAGAGTTTCCAAGTTGCCAGGATTGGGGGGGAGGCGGTGTGACCCTGAAGTGCCAAGAAGGGACCCAAAGTCACTGGGGCCAAGTCGCCTGAGGCCCTCTTCTCCAGCCTCTAGAGGAGCTTGGCGGTTTGCTCTCTTGTTAGCACATCCTATGAACAGAAAGTTTTGGGCACCTGGTGTGCACAGGACCCTGTTCTCAGCCCTGGTGGCCTCAGAGACCAAGACAGACAGAGGGCCCTCCTGAAATAATCCATCCCGCCTGTTAGGTTATGAGAGCGGGCGCAGGGCCTCACCAAGGAGACTGGCTGGGTGCGGACATGCAGAGAGAGGGGGTCAGGCAAAGAGAGCAATGGGGTGGACAAATGGAGAGGAAGGGGTGCTGGGGATGCCACTGGGCAGGGCCGAGAAGGTAGAGGAGGTTTGTCCTTGGAGCAAAGGACAGCGCTTGAAGCGTGTTCAACAGTGTGTGGCATGATCTGGTTTACATTTTGAAAATGAGTTGTTGAGGTCCAGGGGAGGGAAGGTCAGCTTAGGGACCAGGGTGGTGTCCTGAGAGGGACAGGGTGGCTTGAGCCGGCGGGAGAAGTAAAGGTAGAGCAAAGTGGAAGGAATTGCCAGGGTCTTAGGAAGAGAAACTGAGGGGACGCCCAGGCAGAGGAGATAGGATCAGTGAGCCCTGGTGTCACCCCTGAGATGGGGATCTAGAGACTCCGAGTCCCACGGGAGGTTGGTAAAGGTGATTTGGACCTACTGGGTTGGAGCCCTGTGCCACATCTTTGCGGGGGGCTCAGTGGGCCCAAGGCGGGTAGATCTGGGGCTCAGGGAGAAGTCAGGAGTGGAAGGGTGGCCCCCTGCCTGCCAATGACACAGCTGGGGCTCCTGGAGGTGCTGGCTCCCTCTGTGTGCTGAGATCACAGCTGGTTGCCCTGCTCCCGAACTCGCCACCACAACTCACCCTGCAAAGGACACATGTCTTGGTGTAAATCAGTTCCCTGGGGTCACTGGCCAGGGAGGCACAGGGAGCCAGGTGCTGGATGTGATGGGAGGAGGGAGCATGGCAGGGCTGCTCTGCTGGTGGAGGAGAGCTGAGTTCCCTGCAGGGACCTGGAGCTGGGCCGCTGGAAGGGCCCCTACTGAGCGGGCCCCTGCTTGTCCTCTCCTGACCTCAGGGTGAAGAGAACCTTGTACCAGAACGTGCCGTCCCCGGTGCCCTTCTTCCAGCCCCTCTACAGTGTGCACAGCGGGAACTTCCAGGTACA